GCGCGGGCGCCTGGGCCGGCCCTGTCGGCCTCCGACTCAGAGCTGCCGCCTAGAAGCACCGAGAAAGTTCCAGAGTCTCCCGGCCGACTCTCAAGGGCTCGGCTCTGGCCGAGGCAGTGAAGGCAGTGACCGCGGACAAGCTTTCCGCCTGGCTCTGGAAAGCTGGAGAGACTTTACCAGGCGAGCAGAGCCGCTGTCTCAAAGCCGGGAGTCCACACGGTCGCTTTAGTATTTTTTAAAAGTTTATCTTGAAAAAGCAAAAAGGGTGATTTTAAAATATAAACGTAATATTTTCGAAGCGGACTCAAAGCAATTGTCTGATTCGTCTGTGGAATGCAGCTAGATAACACAGTGCTACGAAGAGGCTACTTAAACAGCCTTCTCAGTCATTAGCATTGGTGGTTCAGTGGTAGAATTCTCGCCTGCCACGCGGGAGGCCCGGGTTCGATTCCCGGCCAATGCACACTGATGTTTTTCTATTTAGGCCTTAATTTCTCGATATTTTTCTATTTTAAAATTTGTAACACTTCAACATAAGAAAGAAACTGGTTAAAGGCCTTGGGTTATTTTGTCAGGTTCCTGCTCTTTAACGGCTTTCCTCAGAGAAGCCGGACAGCGCTGAAGTGAGGGAAGGCAACCTATGGGCAGAGGAGATACAGAGTCGCCAGATGCCGCTCCTGCAGTTTTTCGAGCCCTGTCTCCGAAATTGTATCCCTAGGGGCATCGTCCCCAGAGGCCCGCTGGAAAAGCACAGTGTGCATTTTAAGAGATGGTGTCATCGGGCAGTAAAGGCACACTAGTTCCCATTAGGTCTGTGGCCTTACGAACTGAGTCTTTCTCATTTCGCTTAATCCAAACTATTCCACTTGGGTTGTTTGGTGCTTAGCCTTTGACACATGGAATAAGCCCTTGAGGTAATGCCCCTAGGATTAAGCAATAAGAACTACAAGCTCTCCACTGAGGAGTTGAACCCCAGCCTCCCACAAGACAGGAAGGGTTACTAACCACTGTGCTAAGGAGAACAAGGCTAAAGCTGGCCACTAGAGAGCATTTGATATTTTCTGATAGTATATATTTAGCGTATCGAAGGAATGCATTATTTGCTTGATGCAAAGGAAAATTCTAATTTAAAAAAAAGATATTGAAATGTCCTGTTCTGTGTGTGTGGTTTTTTTGTTTTGTTTTGTTTCTCCAACAGATTAGAAGTCAGTGGATTCCATGGGCCTCTGAAGAGGGAGCTCTGTCAGGCTACTGAGGTCAGTTCTCTCCCAGTGTTCCGGTGAGAAAAAGCAGCAGTTGGCTACTAGAGAAATTAGCAGTACTGGGAAGGTGATCAGTCCAGGAAAGAAAATGTTTGAAGTATCAAATGAATGAATTCCACAGTGGAAAAATATCAAACTATCTTCAAAGAGACATAATCTACTTCATAACTCGAAGAGAGAGAGAAGTCAGGCCTAGGAGCCAGAATCAAGAAGGCCTGCAAGAGAAAGGGCTTCACCTCAGGAGAAAAAAGATTGCCTGGCCTGGGGATCCATGTGCTGGCTTGTTCAGGGACTACCTTGTCTGGGCTCTTCTGAAACGTTCTCCCTGCCTTCAGCAGCCTTAAGATCCTACTTAGTCGGCAGGGGATGTTGCTCAGTCATAAAGCAATTGCCTAGCATGTGTGATCCCATGTACACACAATTCCATGCACTTAACATCAAAAGTTGTGGCTAAAACTCTGAAGCAGGATATCAGTATTCATGGCCTCACACCATCACACTTTAATGAGTTTGTTTTCTGATGCTAGGGATGAAACTCAGCCTTCAAGGTTTAGAGAAGTCATTTAATTGCTCAGACTGGGCTGGAACCTGGCTATCCTCCTGCCTCAGACTCCCAGAGAGCTGGGATTACACCACATGAGGCCCAGTTTCTTTCTTTCTTCCTTCCTTCCTTTCTTTCTTTCTTTCTTTCTTTCTTTCTTTCTTTCTTTCTTTTCTTTTCTTTTTTTTTTGGTACTGGGGATCAAACTCTCGGGATCTTGTGCTTCTGAGGCAGGCAGCAGAACCACTGAGCTAAATTCCTGGACCTTCTTTGTTTTTTGACTGACCTTTTCACAGAGGTTTAAGGGTTCATAGGAGAGTTTATATATATGCAGTACAAATTTTGTACGTACACTTAAACATATCCATTTGTGTTTAGTAGCTTAGTTTGGTTATCTTTTAAAATAGATCAGACAGTAAAGTAATGGCAACACATTGTGAAGTGAAAGGATGCTTATCATCCAATATTGACCACAAAATTAAAGCAACTGTGGAATAAAATTTATAGCATGGTCCACACTATATGTGAAGATCTGTCACACCAACTACCTATATTTTTAACTTTATTATTATTAGTACATACTTGTTCTTTTTACTAGTACACACTTGTTATACATGTTCATCACATGCATCATAGGTCATTTTTATCTGCACAGAATACATCAAATACATCTTACCTATATGTTTTGGGGGTTTTGTTTTGTTTTGGTACCGGGTATCAAACTCAAGACTTTGTACTTGCCAGCATGCGCAGCATCACTGAGATATATCCCAGCCCATATCTGTATGTTTTAAATCAAGTCATTTCACTTATCTGTGCTAGAGCTTGTTTTTTGTTTTGTTTGTTTTTTGGTACTGGGGATTGAACTTGGGACCTTGCACTTGTGAGGCAGGCAGCGGCACCAGTGAATGACCTTGTTTCTAAGGATTTTCCAGGTTCAAAAGGTCTCTGATTTCAAATTTTTAAGAATTTATTCATTCCACAAATATTTGTTGAATGCTATATCATGTGACAGACACTGAACTAGGCTCTGAGTAAGTATATAGTGAACAAAATAGACAAAGGTTTCTCCTGGAGCTCATATTCAAATGGGAGCGGGGGGTCAAACAATAAACAAGAAAGCATACAGTACATCAGTTGGTGATAAGTATATTGTGAAAAAATAAAGCAGGTGAGGAGAATTAGTAGTATGATGAGGAGTAGAATCATTCTAAATGATCAAACAGAACCCACTGATAAGGGGACATTTGAGTAAAGTTCTAAATGGTATTGTCTTGGTCTAATTTCTGTTGCTATTACAAAACACCTGAGACTGGGTGATTGGTAAAGAAAATAGGTTTCTTTAGCTCACAGCTCTGGAGGCTAGTCCAAAATCAGGTGGCCACATCAGCTTAGCATCTGATGAAAGCCTTATGAGTTCCACGCCCAACAGAAACATGCAAGGGCAAACAGGGTATTGGGAAGAGAGAAAATAGCCAAACTGTCATGACAGCTACAGCTTTAATCCATGTGAGAGTTAAGCCCCAGAGACTCAAACACGTCCCCCTGGGCCTCATCTCCCAACACTGCTGCACTGAGGACCAAGCTTTAAAATGAATTGGAACCATTGGGGACACAAAGAAGCATGATATAGGTATCTATAAGAAATAACATTCCTGAAACAGGAAGTAGCAAAGGCTGTGTTGAAGCACAATTCATGTGTCTTTAAAAAGGACAAAAGTAACCAAAAATAAGCATGGCAAAGCAGTAGAAAATGAGATTAGAGAGACAATGAGGAGCAAGATCACGTTAGCATCTTGCAGAATACTGCAAAGGCTTTAGCTTTTACTCTAAGTGCAAGGGGAAGCTATCTAATGGCTCTAGCAAAGAAGTGACCAAAAAAAGGTCATTCCTTAGCCAAGGCTACTTTCAAGAAGGGGCTACAGGAGAAAGAAAAGTGTGTGGCCTACAAGATGTGGCTGTCACTGCCATTGTGTCACAGGAGAAATCATTTGTCCTGAATGTCCTTGTACCATCTGACTTCAGTCTTGCAGTCTGTCATTGACCTTTGAAGGTCTCTCTTCACAAAGAAATACAGCCCTGTGTCCACTGCAAACAGCAGTCCCATCACCAGGCAGAAAATGATTTGGTACCAAGGAGGAGAGATGGATGGAACTGGGATTGCCGGACCTCCTAGGAGAGAAAGAAATAGAGAAAATGATGGTCATTAAAATAAAGATTTGTAATAAACAGTGAGGTCCCCAGTTAGAGCCTTTGTGCCTTCACCCCAGCTAGGGGATTAAGGCCAAGTCAAGAGCAGATGGGTAAGCCAGGAAGTCTTCAGAGAATATCTCTGTCTCTCTGCATTCCCAAAAAAGCACTAAATTAGCATTTGCTAAAGGGCAATTATGGCACATCTGTCTGAATTCAGAGAAGACAAAGATTGGGGGTCACCTTGGTTTGGCGATTGCCATATGAAACACAGTTTAAAAGTTTTCTGCTGGGTTTGGTGGTGCATTCCTGTAATCATTGCACTCTGGGAGGCTAAGGCAGGAGGATTGCAAGTTCTAGCCTCACCTTGACAACTTAGTGATTTACTGAGACCTTGACTTGAAATAAAAAAAAAAAAAGAAATTAGGGGCAGGGGAGAAATGTACCTTAGTGCAAAGATCCTAGGTTCACTCTACAGAACCACACAAAAAAGTTTTCTTTGCAGCAGACTTCTTAAAGCCTTTAACATGCATTGTGAATATAAAAGGAGAACAGAGTATGCAGCATGTTGTACATCAATTTCACCCCAGAGCCCTTCATTTCAAAAGGAATTACATGACTGGGGAACTACAGAATCCACATCAGTGGATCTTCACTCCCTAATGCCTCTCAGCCTAGGACTCCAACACCAGTCCCTCATAAGTACCTTGTGATGCTTCCTGAACAGGCATCACAAAGATTACCTAATGCAAATTTTTTCAATAATAGACATGGGCCTAGTTCTTTGTGGGTGGAGAAGTATTTCCCAAGTTCACACAGCTGCCCTGAGCTGCAGTTTGAGCTTAGGCTGAGAGGTCATTAGGCAGACACAAGCCTCAGAATCCTACAGGTAGAGGGATATGAAACTAAGAGGAGTGGTTGAAATGAGGTGGAAAAGAGGGAGCGTGATTGTGTCTGGTAGATGTATTTGTGGAGAAGAAAAGATATCTTCTGGGGCTGGGGATTTATCAGTGGCACTGTGCCTGCCTTATGAGTAAAAGGTCATGAGTTTGATCCCCAGTACCAAAAAGAAGAAGAAGAAAAAAAAAAAAAGAAAGAAAGAAAGAAAGAAGAAAAGATACCACCTGTTAAAACTGAGTGAGGGGCCAGTGATTTAGCTCAGTGGTTCTGCTGCCTGCCTTGCAAGTGCAAGGTCCTGAGTTACAGCCCAGATTCACAAAACAAAACTGAGTGAATGACATCAATTTGTTTGTTTTTTTGTTGGTTTATTTTTTGAGACAGGGTTTCACTATGTATTTGAGACTGACCTGGAACTCACTATGTAGTCCAGGCTGGTCTCAAACTCACAGTGATTCTCCTGCCTCAGCCTCCCGAATACTGGGATTACAGGCGTGTGCCACCATGCCCGGCTGTGAATGACATCTATTCCCATAACCCCTGCGAAACAAACTGGTTCACAGCTGCACATCCGCACAGCGGTCAGGTTAGCTAGAACTCTGACCACTCCGGAGAATGCCAATTACCAAAGCCTAAAAAGGATCAGTAATTCCCTCTCTAAGCAGCCTTTCAAAGCCTAAAGCTCCTTCAACAGCCCTGGCTCCTACCTTGGACAGTGATGGTCACAGGCTGTGATTTGTGGGATGTCTGTGCTATATGTCCTGTGCAGTGGTAATCACCACTATGACTGTGGTTTGCTCGTGGGATAGAGAACTTGCTATTGAAATTGAAAAATCTTTTGGCTACTCCATTGTGGTAGAATGTGACCTTTGCCAATGGCCTGTCACGCCAGCTGTGGCACCGCAGCGTGATGTCTTCCCCCTCCTGGAACACCAGCTGTGGGGTCTGGAGCAGCAGCCAGTCTGGAAGAAACACAGGGAGAAAAGTTTCCAAGGATGAGATACAAGGCCTTTGCAGAAGCTCAGGGCTGTGTGACTCAAAGAGCTTGAAAGAATACTGGGCAGCTGCTTCAGGGCAGGTGTGATTGTTCTTTTACTGGGAAAATGTGGGTTTTTGCCTGTGGGATCTCTGAAGTATCTCTGGAGTATCCAGAAGTTCCAAAGATGAAGAGCAGGTATTTTTAAATGTTTTTGAAGAATGTAAAACACTATAATTACATAGGGAAATTAGTGCATTTCAGTAACTGTAAAAGTTACTGAACAGGATCTGAAACATTTGATTTTTTTTTTTTTTTGTACCAGGAATGGAACTCAGGACCTTGCACTTTCAAGGCAGGCACAGTACCACTGAGCTAAATCCCTAACCCCATGAAACATTTGATTTCTTATGGATACAGAATTTGTTGTCTGGAGATTACTAATCTAATCATCACTCTCAAAAACATTTAGGAAGTGAGCCAAGAGGCTATTAATGGTATTAGCAGTGAAGTAGAGTAAAACAGTCTATTGTAGTCCATTCAGGCTGCTATAACAAACTAGTATAAACAGGGTGGCCTATAAACAACAGAAATGTATTTATCACAGTTCTGGAGACCTGGAAGTCTAAGATCAAGGTGCCAGCAGCTTTTGCATCTGGTAAGGGCCCTCTTCCTGGTTTGTAGAACTGAAGTTTGTAGAACACAGCCTCCTGTGAGCCTCTTTTTTTGAGGGGTGAGGGGCTCTTTTATAAGGAATCTACTCCCATTCATGACTCCATGCTCATGTAGGTAAATCACTTCCCCAAGGGCCCTATGTCCTCATACTGCCACCTTAGAGGTTAGGATCAACATATGAATCTTAGGGGATATCAGCATTCAAGGTCAGGGCCCTGGGATATAGCTTAGTGGTAGAGTGTTTGACTAGCATGTGTGAGGCCCTGGTTTTGATCCTCAACACCATACAAAAAACATTCAAAATTGCTCTTCATCCCCATAAGAAATGAAAATGTATGACTATTTGAATTCAATGTTCAGTTATGGCTCTGAACACAAAGTTCACTAAAGAAAGTTTTAAAGTTAGTCAGTTCTCCTTCCTTTACTATAAACACTCTTGTTCCCAGCCTCCCCTCTCTTCATTGATGGCAGAATAATCGGGCTTCAAAATTCAACTACTTTGAGCCAGCTGTGGTGGCACATGCCTGTAATCCCAGCACTCAGGAGGCTGAGGCAGGAGGATCGCTGTGAGTTTGAGACCAGCCTGGGATACATAGTGAGTTCCAGGTCAGACTCAATTACATAGTGAGACCCTGTCTCAAAAAAAAAAAAAATTCAACTACTTTGGAGGTTAAGTCTTAACAAATGCATTAACAAACTCACTAGAGAAGAAACGCAAATTACTTTGTTACAGAAATAAATACCTCAATTTATTCTTTCCTACTTAAATGAAAATTCATTTATGAGAACAGTATTCTGGATATGAGAGGCGAGATAGTGTTAGTGAGACAGCATGACAGAAATCTAAAGTCAGGATTCTTATTTTGGCTCCTGTCATGAGCTGTGCGTGTCCTCAGCTTAAATTCCTTCTACAACAGAAGTACAGAGTTAGGTGGTTTCTCTCTAGCAACTCTTTGGACCTAAGTTTTGTTGTGTACAATTTTACATTTTCATAGGAAAAGGCAGAAGTATGATCTCTCTCCGGAGAGGAAAGGGTACAAAGAGCAGAGGTGAGTAGCTGCGATGTTACTGGGCAGGTTTTTTAGTTTAACCCAATATTTATTTCTTTGTTTATTTTGCAGTGCTGGGTATCAAACCTTCTAGCCAAATGCTCTATCACTGAACTATACCTCAGCCCCTTTTCCTCTTTCACGAGAGCACCATCCACAAAAAGTGACTCCACACGAGAATCTCTCTGATACAGGGAGTCTTGAAGGGCCATTTTGAAAAACTGCCTTCTTTGTATTACAGAAGAAAGTCTAAAGCATTAGATGCTTACATGTACCACCTACAGGGTTTCTGCATCAAGTTACAGCTGAAATAAATTATTCGTATTTTCAGATGTTGGAATGAGGAAGAAATAGTATAGGAGTAGTTTCCTCTCAGAATCTATTAAACTGTATACTACTTCATATTTATGTAAACTACATTAGATAGTGTGATTCCTTGCATTATAATCATCTCATAACTTATATGATGGAATACTACTCAGCCATTAAAAGAATTAAATCCCAGGTTGGGGATTTAGCTCAGTGGTTTTAGTGCCTGCCTTGCAAGCTCAAGGTCCCAAGTTCGATTCCTGATACCAAAAAAGATAAAAGAATAAAATCCTGCCATTTGCAACAATATGGGTGGGAGTGGAGGGCATTGTGTTTTGTTTTTGGTTTTTGGTACAGGGGATTGAACTCAGGTCCTTGCGCTTGCAAGGCAGGCGGCTGAACCACTGAGCTAAACCCCTGGCCCCTGGAGATCATTATGTTAAGTTAAATGAAACAAGCACCTTGGGGAAAAGACAAGTATTATATAATCACAATCATATACAGAATACTTTTTAAACGGTTGGTTTCACCAGGCATAGCGGTGCACACCCGTAATCCCAGAACTCGGGGGGGGGGAGGCTGAGGCAGGAGGATCACCTCTAGCTCAAGGCCAGCCTGGGCTAATACTGAGGCCCTGTCTCAAATAAACTTAGATAAATAAATAAATAAAAATAAAAGGTGGATTTCCTACAAGTTGAAAGTTGAATGGTGGTTAGCAGAGGGTAGTGAGAGGAGTGGGGAGGAAGGAATGGGGAGAGATTAATCAATGGCTATTGAGGTACAGTTCGCTATGAGCAAGATGTTCTGTGTGCTGTGGCACAGTAGGGTGCCTATCATGTACCACATATTCCACCAAGCTAGAAGAAAAGATTTTGAATATTTTCCCCATCGAGAAAGGACAAATCATTTGAGGAGATGAATTATGCTTAACCTGATTTAAACATTATACAATGTACATCAAGCCATGACATCGTACCGCTAATACACATAATGTTTGGGTATCACCTGAAAAAATTTAATTTTTACCAAAACCATCGCATGAATTTTCATCACATTCAGGAATAAAAGTCAAGGTCATCGCAACAGCTTATCAGCCTCCACACCTCTGACCAGACTGTTTTCCCTGCTTGGGGTTCCAGCCTCTGGCCTCCTGCGCTCCTGGCAGAATGGCTTCTTGGCAGAGTGATCGCCTCACATTTGACAGGGGGACTCCCACTGGGGGCCTTTACAGGTCTATGCTCCCCGCATTACAGCAGGGTGCTTTTGTGAAGTACGGGCCTCCTTCTGCTCTCTCACACCCAGCTGCCTGTTTGTGGCCTTGCAGCCCTCTTGCTCAATCAGGACTGAGGTAAAAACAATCTAATATATGCTGAGGAAATTCTAAGCAAAGGGGTGGGTGAAAAGGGAAATGAGGTGCCATCGGTAGTTGTAGTGCGCTGGGAAACGGAGGCAGGGGGGATCACAAACTAGAGCCTAATCTGAGCATGTTAGCAGTTTAGTGAGAACCTGTCCGGCTGGGGATATAATTGAGTGCAAAGGCTTTATTTCAATCCCTGGTACTGCAGGACAAGGAAAGGAAAGGGAGGGAAAGAGGGAAAAGAGAGGAGAGGAGAGGGGAGAGGAGAGGAAAGGAAAAGAAACACACACCGTAAAACCGTACCGAGCACGTCAGAGTGGTGTTTCCCAGAAATCAGGCCAGCCCCCTTTCCTGCCAACATCCGCCGCGTCAGCAGGTTGCCCTCTCCTGGTCCTCCCAGCCCCCCTGTCCTCTACTGACCCGAAATCACGTTCAGAAGCACAGGGTCGCTAAGGCTGGTCCCGCCCTGCTGGCACCGGTACTCTCCACTGTTATTCGTTTCCGCGGTGAACCTGTAGCTGGGCTGGACCTGGGCGGGGATGGGGCTCCCGCTGTGGACCCACTGGGTGGAGTGGTCCCCAGGCCCGCGGGCCCCCTCACAGGTCAGTGTCACGTGGTCTCCCCGGAGCACCTGGATCCATGGGGGCTCGCGTCTCACCACAGCCTTTGGGAGATCTGTGGAGATGCGGAGAGCAGAAAGGAATGTGAATAATTAACTTTAGAGGGATGGTGGATTGCGAAGGAGCCGTGTTGTGTGTCTAGTTAAAGCACATACAGCAGCTTCGCTCTCTGGACTCTTCGGTGGATTTGGAAGGAATCTTTCTAAGAACCGATCCCAGGCTCTACTGAAATAGGGGCACTGCCCATGATGAACCGAAACCTGACTCTTCCATACCAGAGATAGAGCTCAGGACCTTACACTTGCGAGGCAGACACGGTGCCACTGAGCTAAATCCCTGGCCCGAATCCTGAGTTTTGGTGGCAGGCTTTTCCTTACAAAGTAAATACAGTGTCTTACTGTGAGGAAATAGTACCATCAAAACAAGAACACAAAAAGCAAACTCACCAGTTTGCCTTTCTGCAGAAGCTGTAAAAAAGAGAAGAGGGTGGATCAACACAAAGCAATAGAGGAAGATAACACATTTAAACTGGCCCTAGTCACACACACAAACACACGCACATGTGCACATACACGCGTATAATCCTAGCACTCTGGGAGGCTGAAGCAGGAAGATTGCAAGTTTGGGCCCAATTTGAGAAATTTAGCAAGATCCAATCGCAAAACAAATTTCTTAAGAGGACTGGGGATGTAGTTCAGTGTGAAAGCTCTAGGTTCAATCCCCAGCACACGAATGTGTGTGTGCACGCGCGCACACACACACACACACACACCCCAAAAGGAAAGAGGCAGGGTAGAGGAGGTGATTTGGGCTCCTTCTTTCCCCGTTACCCTTTCCAAGAGCATATTTGGCCAGTTGTGCTGGCATACACCTGTAATCCCCAGCACTCGGGAAGCTGACGCAGGAGGATCATAGAGAGTTCAAGGTCAGCCTGGGTTACACAGTTCAAGGTCAGCCTGAACTATATAGTGAAACCCTGTCTTAAAAAAAAAAAAGAGCCTATTTGCAGTTAATTTCCTCAGTGTTTTTTTTTCCTTACCCTCTCTTTCCCCATGACCTGACTACAAGTAATATGAGTGTCTGGAGCACCGGGAGCTTCTCAAGGATTGTGAAAGTCTCTCCAAAGTCTGACTTTAGGAATCATGGAAGCTGTAGGAATTCAGGGTCCTCTCTTCCCTTTGTCTGTCCCTAGCTTTGAGGGCCCACGCCTCCTTCTCCTTACAACACTGTCCCTGGAGTCCAGGCAGTAGGAATAGCTGAAATGTCCCTCTTCCAAAATGACCTCTACTCACCCAACAGCAGCAAAATTGTCAGTGGTTGAAACAGCCATCGGCCTCGAGGATATACATTCTGAAACATTTGAGTCTTCAAAGTCATCTCAGATCTGGGCCAGAGTCCAGTGAGGGTTAGGAGATGAGCTTAAGAAAAGAGGAAGGAAATTGTTTCATATTTTTGTACATAAGTCATCAGTCACCAGATTCTCTTTCTGCTAACAAGGCATTACCAAATCAAGGAGTGAAGCTTGCTTTACAGTAAATACCTCTATCACGTAACCCCTCGGCTTCTTGGTGAGGAAACGTGGAGACACCAGGAAGGAGACCTAAGGCTGGAGCCCAGGTCCTGGGTCCCAGTTCAGTGCTGTTCCCACTCCACTTCCTGTTTGCTCACTGGCCAGTACAGAAGTTCCACAGAAGCTTCAACTCAGACAAATCTTCTAAACCGTCAATCAAAGAATCAATGTTAAGACAACAAAATAGGGTAATCGTCTTCGGGAAACATTCAGGCCAAGAAGGTCTCTAAATATACCCCAGGTGAGACTACCCTCCCTGCCCATACATAAATCTTTTAGTGCAAGATATAAATTTGGTGTGTTTTTGCCATAGGATGTTCTGTTCAAGCAATGTAACAGTTTGTGCTGCATGCCATTTGCACCCAAGGTTTCTGTTAACTCCGCCCACCCACCTCAATGAGCATGCTTACCTGGTAGGTGTGCTCACCCTCCATCCCTGAAGATCTCTATATAAGGTTGCTTGCATTGCCGTTCAGGGCTCAGACTTGAGAGTACGAACTCCTCCGAGTCCCTTCGTCTCTCTGAGTGCCTTTCGACTTCTTTGCTGCCAGAGACCTACAGATAGTCATAACACTAGCTAAAAAGCTGAGCTGTCACACTTCTCTGTAACACTATGATCTGTGCCTTTATCAGAAACAAAAACATGGATACAAAGACAGACCCATACACAATGAAAATGCCACGTGAATCTTACAGTCCTATGCCACAAGCCAAGGTACTACGAAAAGCAACAAAGAGGGCCGGGGATTTAGTTCAGTGGTTCTGCTGCCTACCTCGCAAGAACAAGGAGGGTTCAATACCCAGTACCAAAAAAAAAAGCAACAAAAAGAGCTCTGGACCAGATCTTTACCTTCAGTCTTCAGAGCATGGGTCTGCATATACACTGAGCCTAACTTCTAGCCTCTAGAACTATAAGACAAAAAACTTCTGTTGTTACACGGGGTGTAGTGGCACACACCTGTAATCCCAGCATTTGGGAGGCTAATGCAGGAGGATTGGTGAGAGTTAAAGGCCAGCCTGGACTACATAGTGAATTTAAGGCCAGCCTAAATTGCAGAGTGAGACTCTGTCTCAAAAAGTTAAAAAAAAGTGTTACAGTTGGGGCCTGGATGTCTCCCCAGAGCCTCATGCAGTCAGAGGTAGGTGAATCTGGAATGTTCAGAGGCTGCGATCCAGGGAGTGTGGTTACTAAACCACTCCACGTGAGTGGTTTAGCCCCGCCCTAATCCCGGTAGTCTGGGCAGGATAAAGGAGGCAGAAAGAGCGGTGCAGCTCTCTCTCGTTGCCTTGGCCACCTTGTGTATGTAGTTTCTCCTCTCTGAGGCCTGTCTGCCAAAACAAAATAAGGAAACAAAACGTCTGTCATTTAAACCACTCTGTTTATGCTATGCTATTATGGCAACCCTGGAAAATTAATAATTGGGGTAAGCAAAAAATATTATAAAAATTAAATTTACCTGTTCCTTTTACTGTGTTAAATGTGGTTACTAGAAAATTTGATTCTTTATTTTTCTACTGGACAGTACTAGTGTACTTGGCAGTATTTATCCTGCCAGACTTACCAAAGAGCTATTTCTTCTCTCCCAGGCCTTCCTGTAGTAATGCTGGTCTATTCCACAGCCAGTGGAATAATAAGAAAAGTCAATCTATAATCTATATAAGCAATTGGACTTTAAACTTGTGCCTCCCCCTCCACAACACAGGACTGATCCTCGTAACTGCTAGGCAAGCACTCCAAGCTTTACATCCCCAATCCTTTTTTAATATGTTATTTTGAGACAAGGTCTCACTAAATTGACCTTCCAGGTCTCACATTTGGGATCCTCCTGCCTCAGCCTCCCTGGTAGCTGGAATTACAAGTGTGTACCATCATATTCAGTTTAAATTTTTTCATTCTTCCTGTGCTAAAGCACAGAACAGGCTAAGAAATTGCTCTACCAGAGCTTCATTTCTTTCAGCACTCACACTCCTCTCTTGAGTGTGTCCTGTGTCTTCCCCTAATAAATCCTTCTCACACCTCTTTAAAAAGAAAAGATGACCTGGGGATTTAGTTCAGTGGTTCCTATGCGTGCCTTGCAAGTGCAAGGGCCCAAGTTCAATCTCCAGTACAAAAAAAAAAAAAAAAAAAAAAAAAAAAAAAAAAAAAAAAAAAAAAGAAAGAAAGAAAAGAAAAAAAGGAAAGCTAAAAAGAAAAGAAAGTGTTCTAACACTGAGCTACATTATCAGACCTCAAATTCCTCCTGATAATCTATTTAGATGAGTTCTCTTGCTTTGACACTTGATACTCTTCTGAATACAATTCTTAGTTTTCCCTTTAAATCCATAAACTTCCAGTCATAGACTCTCTTCATGCTGCTGAGGCTGTTTTCAAGCTCTGGGCTCAAATGATTCTCCTGCCTCAGCCTCCCAAATGCTGTGACTATAAGCACAGGTCACTATACTTTGCTGCCATACTTTTTTTTTTCCAGCAGAGTATTGAACTCAAAACCTTAACACTGCTGCATCCCCAGCCCTTATTTTTTATTTTAAATCACAGTCTCATTAAGTCATTGAATTTCCCAAGATGGAATTGAACTTGCAATCCTCATACCTCAGCCTCCCAGAGTGCTGGGATTGCAAACATGCACCACTATGCCTAGCTAGTCATAGACATTTTTTGCTATCAATTTAACATCTACTCATCCATCCTGATTTGTAGGTCCATATCAATTGGACTGGCCTGCTTTATTTTGAAACTAGGGAGAACTAAACAAATGCTATATTATTCAAAAATCAGTCATTCTGTGAGAACATTCACATTGTTCAATGAGCTACAGTGAATAAACTTCACCTCAATCACTTTGATTTTTTTTAGGCAAATACCATCATGATGGTACTTAATAATACCAAACTTCAGGAATTAGATTGCTGATTCACCTGTAAGTTGATGAAAATATACCATGTTCTTTAAATTGGCCTGCAAGAAGTTCCTCTTCCTATTTCCTAATGAAAGAAAATTTATCTGTCAACCCTAAACACTAATACACGAGGTTAAATAAAATATATTATTAAAAATAAATTTTAGGGGCTGGGGATTTAGCTCAATGGTTCTGGCACCTGCCTCACAAGGGCAAGGACCTAAATTCAATCCCCAGTACCCCACCAAAAAAAACAAACAAACAAATAAAAAAGCAAGTGAAATTGGAGCCAGGTGTAGTGGTGCATGTCTGTAATCCCAGCACTCGGGAGGCTGAGGCAGGAGGATTGCTGTGAGTTCAAGACCAGCCTGGGCTATATAGTGAGTTCCAGGCGAGTCTCAACTACATAGTGAGAGCCTGTCTCAAAAAAACAAAAAAACAAACAAACAAAAAAATAAATAAATTTTAGGAGATTCAGGAAAGCAGCTGGCTCAGACATCAGATCTCCCTCACTCCAGCCTGCCTGGGCTGGTCCATGGGTCTGGGTAGCCACACCCTCCCCTGCGGGTGCCATTGCTGCTCCAGCACCAGGAGGGTAGTTCCCCCCACCAGATCTCCTGATTGTGTCAGTCCTTGAACCCACTCCACAGAGGCATGGCTGGTTATAAAGGGTAATTTTCTGAGCTCCCAAATTTGAGCATCATTAAAGAAGGGGTGGGGAAAACCTGTGGTAGAACTGTCTGGAGTTCAACCCTGCAGGAGGTCGGGGAGCTCAGTTTGGGCCTTGCAACCGAGGTCAGTCTGCTTCATGGGGGTCTGCCATTGGCTAGCTGAAATAGGTGGATTCGTTTCTGTGCATGACTGCACATGATGTGTATTATGGAAGTGGGGATGTAGTCTGAAAGAGGCCCTTCAAAGTCATTTTTTGTCCTTTTCTTTCTTTTCCTCATTCCACTCTGTAAGTTCTTTTTTCTGTCCTCTTTCACCAACTCAGTCTCTTGCTCCACCATGTCATCCCTCATCTCCCTTTCTGTTCATGCTCCTGCCCTGACTCAGATTTCTTCTTTTATCATTTTTTCTTTTTTCTTAATGTTCTGTTTTTCTATCATTGTGCCTCACTCAAGGGTCAGTAGTTTCAAGGGAAAGTGAGCCCCTATTGCTGTTAAGGGGATATATTCTTGTCCTTATACTTGCACTCTGTCTATCCCTTTTGAGTTTAGCAGTTTCCTAAAGATTGTGTGGTCATTCTGTGTCCTCTGGCTTCACTTGAAACCTTGTCCAGTTCTTTTACTTATTTAATCTCTTTGTCCTAATTCTGTCTAGGCCCCTATCCTAAATGGTAAATATGCTATGTTGAGGAGTTTGTTCACTGCAAACATATTTTGGGCTGCTTCTTGATTTTAATTTAATTCACATGGTTTGGGGGTGATGGATTAATGACTACCACAAGTGGTCAATTTGCAGGTGGTGATTGATCTTATTGTGTTGCTGATTATATTGACAGGGATAAAGGATAGGGATTGATTTGACAAGTTGTTTTCTCTGATATTGTAAAAGTGAGAATGTCTATGAGTCATTAAAGAATCAAAGGCTGGGGCACAACAATATCAGGAAGATTTAATGACCCAGAGATTGAATCAAGGACAACCCAACAACAAAAATTAAAATGAGAAAACACTTAAGCAAGACACAAAGACAGACTTCCAGTTCACCAATGGCAAACAGTAGGGCAAAGGAGGATAAAAAGTCTGATAGTGAACCACCAGGACACTCAGAACTCACAGCACAGGAAGTAACAAAACAAATCAGTCAGGGGCCAGGGATTTAGCTCAGCGGTTCAGTGGCCTGCCTTGCAAGTGCAAGGACCCAAGTTCAATCCCCGGTACCAAAAAAAAAATAAAAATAAAAAAAAAAACCAGATCAATCAGACTCTAGGAAGATTCAAAACAGAAATAATTTCCCAGACAAGCATAGAGATGGTGGGCAAAATGAAAGTCATGATTCGAGACTCTAGAACAGAAACTGACAAAAAAATAGATGAGCTCAGAACCATAATAGAAGCCATGAAGGCCCAGCATAAGAAATGGAAACAATGAACACCTAACATAGGAAAGAAATGGAATCCATTAAACAGATTCAAACAGATACCCAGGAGATTAAAAACTCTACTGAAAGTGTATGCAACAGAATAAAAGAATGCGAAGATAGAATCTCAGGTATAGAACATAGGATCTCAGACAGTGACCATGAAAAGAGAGGTCTCTTAAAAACAGTAAGG